CAGAGAAACCACAAGAGTCAAATTCAACCGTGCAATTATTGTCACGAATGAATATTTTCACATAAATTATTATGGGAGATTACATGTGTATATATACAAGAGTTTCCTAATGATAATAGGAACAGTATTAATTACACCCTATACAATTATGGAAGCTACCAATATACATTAATATTAAATATAGTAAGAATATATTTAACAGGTATGAAATTTTACTCTGTACGATCTCGATCCCGATCCCAAAATATCAGTTCGGTATGGTTTGAGATAGTTCAGTGTCAGTTTCGGTACAAATCGGAATGAATATACATACCTATTTTACACCTTAAAATTTAACAATGCAACTTTATTTTTGAATATTGAAAGTGAATTTATATATAAAAAATGAATATTTAAATCCAAGAGATGCGTATCAAAACTTTGTTTATATTTCACAAACTAAAAAATGAACGATAAAAAAGGAGTATTTCGAATTTTTGTGAATACCTTTATGTTCATATACAAAAACTAAAACTCAAATAAAAGTATAATTTTCCCATAATTGAACTTACCAATTCTTTTCAAAAAAATTACTCCATTATTTAGTAAGACATATAAAAATATTACTCTGGTTATTATTTTTATAATATTTTAGTATATATGTTTGGTTCGGGATTTTTGTTATGCAACGTCACCTCGTATCGTTCTCAAATACCGTACCGACCATTCGGTTCGGTACGATTCGGTTCCTTCTTGGAACTTTTTCGGTTCGGTATTCTCGGTGTTTTCAAGAAATTTTGGAATCGATTCAGTACTTGCCTGTTCCTAATTTTTTCACCAGTTTCATTTTTTATTTAAATCTTAAATTAAGGCTTTGTTTGAGAACAATAGTATTGAGTTGGGGACACATTTGGAGCGAATACAGCGAAATACTACAGATAGCCTTCACATCACTACATACGGAGTATTTCATTTTTAATTTGAATAAAATTTTAAAACTCGGTCTATTTGTTTCACAAAACTGGGAAAAAAAGTTAGAGTTTGTTTTCTTTAACTTAATATTTATTTTTATAGGAACTAGATCAGAGCAGATCAGATTTGATTAGACATATCTTTAAATATAACTACAATCAGATCAGACCAAATCAAATTATACTTGAACCAATTAGAATAGGTTAAGAGAAAGAGTCCTTAGCCATGACATAAGGGGTACGGTCCAACAATTTAAAGTAGTGTGAAAGCAAAATGCGGAATCGGCTGGGGTAAGCCCTTTAAGGAATTATTTTTGTATGAAGTAGAAACTAAAGAATGGTGCGTAGCTAAACAAAACCTGTGGATCTGTCTTTGAGTTGATGGTGGTTTATTATCTGTTGCATGCTGTCTTCATCAAAATTCTATTTTTTTTTTTAAAAAAAAAGAGAGATAGGAATAATATTCTAACGTTCTTTTCCCATTCGAAGCAATGGAATTTGAGAGTTGAGCCGGTCATGTGCCCGTATGTATGGTCCATTTGAAGGTATTCTAAGTACACCATATCCATTTTCGATTTTATTTCAATTCTTAATTGGTTCCACCACTCCCACAACCTTTTTCCTTAAAGTACTTTCAACGGTGATAAAAATTCATATCTAATTAAATGGATGGAAAAGGATTTTCGGATTGGATAGAAATGATGGGAAAAATAAAAATCAAACGTGGGCCTATATATCAATGTGTTTCAATAATGGCTTGGGCCGTTGCGAAATGGAAATGCATTCTATCCGGTGTTCAAAAATATATCCGATATGAAATTAATATCCATTCATGATCTGGGTTGGTCTGATCCGAAAAATGGATATTCGATCCCATATTTTAACTTTCAGATATTTCAGATTGGATATCCAAAAAATTTGGATCAGATTTGTGGAAAAAAACCAAAAAAAAATAAAAAGCTAACGAATGACTTTTGTTTTAATTTTTTTATTCTTACCATTTTTTGTTGATTTCCTCTTTTACTAAACATATACTCAGTAATAAAACTCTAGCACACTTTTTTTATTGTCAAATATGGAAAGGAAAAAAATAAAATAAAATGCACGTATTTCTTGTAATTTCCCTTTTTCAAATCTTACCATTTTTAATATAATTCCTTCTTGAGGTCTAGATTAATGAAATAACCGTAGATCATGAAACATGCAAAGATGACGGCTCAAAATCATGTGCAATTGGGCGAGAAAATTAATGGGTGATTTTTCCCGTGCTTCTAAGAGCAACTACAATGGGTATGGTATAATATGGTAGTGTAAAAGTTATTTTACACTATCAACAATGTTTTATACACCCACTTTTTTTATCCCATCCAACCATACCTTCTATATAATAGTATAATACAATTTTATAATATTTTATTATTTTAAGTTACTTATTCTTAATAATTATTTTTAATTCATAGTTTGATTATAACCGTATTTATTGTGTATATAATCCAATCAATCTATTATTAATTTTTTTTAATATTATTTAAAATCTAACATTTAAATAATTATTAGGATAGTTTAGAATAAAATTTAAAAGAATATCCTATCAAGGTCTTTTATAAATTTATATTAATTTTTTTTAAATATCCTTTGTAGATATGTTTTTTTCCAAGATGGGATATCTACACTCCTTATCTGAAAATCTATATCTTTGATAACAAAAATCTTGTTAGAATATCTTTTAGGATAAATTAGAATTTTTTTACAGCCTTTTAGAACAAAAGGGGTTGAATATTGTCTCATTTCACATATTTTCTACATCTTCTACACAGCCTCTCTTGATAAAATTGAATAATTTAGGCTTCTTGAGAAATTTTTTACCTGAGAGAGATGTTACAGAGAGTAGCTCTTTTGGCTTGAAAAAAATTTGAGCAAATTGAGAGAAGGTTGGGAAGAAGAAATTGAAATAAATTGCCAAATAGGGAAAAATAAAGAAAAGAAGATAGAAGAGTGGAAGAGCAAGAAGGTATACACCATCTATAGTGATAGTGTAGATATAGGAGGTGTGAATTAATTTTTACACTATAGTGTTTTTTAGCATTAGGTATACCCTACCCCTTGGAGGAAATAAATTGAATAGTAATTGTATAAATGGTACTACCTCCGTCCCGTGAAACATTTTTCCTTTCTTTTTTTATCCGTCCCACAAAACACTTCTCATTTCTATTAAAAAGTCCCTTTTACCCCTTACTTTTTCATACCCTAACTATCACATCATACCTTTTTACTAATAATCTATCCATCAAATCATACTTTTACCCATCACATCAAAGGACATTTTTGGAAATTCAATACCAAAATACACTCCCTTAAATCCCTTCTAAAAAGCAAATGTCCCATGTTTCACGGGACGGAGGTAGTATATTTTACCATATAGACATGACGTTGGAGTTGCTCTAAGAATATAATATATTCACCATACATTAATATTAATACTCCCTTCGGTTGCAAAACAGTTTCCTAGTTTGACTTGGAGCCAAAATAAAAGGAGTGTTAAATTATAGTTGACTTCCAATTTTGCATCTGATGTGATGGATAAAGTAAGATGTGATGGATATATTATTAGAGAAAAAATATGATGTGATAGATAGTATATGAAAAAGTAAGTATAAAAGTAGTTTTTAAATAGAAAGGGGAAAAATGAAAGAAGTATTATTTTTAAGAACGGAGGGAGTAATTAATATCTGATAATTAATAATTAGTAATAATTTAGAAAAATTCAAATGACCTTTTTAATATATATAGCGATTTTTATTATATATGGAGATATGATTTATTATTTATGAAGATTATTATTTATGGATATTATAATATATGGAGACTATTTATTATATATGGATCCGAGCTTTTTTATTATCATTTTACATTATTAATCATGGTCAATGTTAATTCACCAAGGTTCCCATGACATTGCCTGACAATATCATGGGATAACTCGGGGGCGCTCCAGTGCCCCGTTCGTCAAATTGACGGTTCCTACTCCCCATGTCTGATAAACTCTCCCACCCCGACCCGACCCAAACACACCTCCACCCCCTTCAATTGCACTCCACAAGTTGATTTTGAATTTTTGACTTTGGAGTCAAAATCAAAATCAACTTGAATTGTGGGGTGCAATTGAAAGGGGGTGTGGTGTTTTTGGGTCGGGGCAGGGCGGGGGGGTTTACCGGGACTGTAGGAACCGTCAATTTTATGAACGGGGCACCGAAGCGTCCTCGGGTCATGCCATGACATTGTCGGGCAATGTTATGGGAACCATGCAGATGTTAATTTTGCTTCCATTTGGTAAATATAAATAGTTATTGCTCCTCTCATTGAGCAACGCATCCATATGTTATAGTTTCAAGAAAAAATCGTATTGGCATGACAATTTTGATATATAATGAAAAAATGTTCCCACAAATTATACAATTAATGTACTCCGTAGTTTAAAAGGAAGTTTTCTAAAATTTATAATTCATTTGATATTAGTGTTTTAGAATAATGATACATTTTATATTCCGTTATATGGTCTATTTCTATATTTGAGTAATGACACTAACATAGTTTTATAACATAAATTTGAGCCATAAAACGCACGAATGTGATAATAATTATATATGTTGATGATATCACAAATTAGCAGTTTAAAATTTAGAAATCATCCTAAATAGGACTAAAACATAGAGAAAAGTACCAAAATAGGACTTTCATGTTTTTTTTCTTCAGAATAAGACTTTGCATTGTGGTAATATGACAGTGTACATGTGCAAATTACTATACTTTTTGGATAATGTATATGACCATGTTTGGTAATGTAAGTCCTATTTCGGGAATAAAAACATGGATGTCCTATTTTGATATATTTTTAATATTTTAGTCTTACTTTGGTCTTTCTCTCTTTAAAATTAGGCTCCATTTCAAATAATTTCGAACTTTAGTAGGCTATACTACGGAGCATTTAGAGTTTTGCAATCGGTCTTTTGGGCCTAGACCTATATCACTTCGAGTCTGGATTGTATCGGACTGAAACCCAAAATTTAGAAATTGGTGGACTTAAAATTGGTGGGCCTATACTTTTACTTCTCCGGGGAGAATGTGATATCAATCAGAGATCGGGAGTAGAGAGCCGACCCCAGAAGCCCGACGGAATGGGAGGCGCAGGCGCTGCCTCTGCAGCAACTCCCCGGCCAACCACCACCGCCGATGAAGATGCGCTTCTCAAGCAATTCTTCGCCGAAGTAAGTGAAGTTGAGCGCGAAAATGAAGTCAGCAGGTACCCCTCTTACTTTGCTGCCTGCATCTCTGCAAGTTTTCGTTCTTGTCTATCAATCCGCGTTCATTAATTTCATTTTGAAAATTTTAAAAGCCTTTCTGAATGGTGTGTTTTTCAAAATTGGATTGGTGTGTACACGCCGTTTGATGCAGGTTTCTTTATGTGTTGCAAAAATTAGCATTATCTTATGGATTGATTAATAGATTTTGGAATTGAAAGAGAAATTGGGGAATATTGGATCTTGGGTTAGCTGAAAGTGTGTTCTTTGGTGATTGATTATCTTCTGTTGTATAAATTGATAGATGTGTTTGTTTGATGACCGAGTTCTTATCTCAGGTAATATTAGGTTAAAAAAGTTGCTTTTTTTAAATGAATGAAGTTGTATCATCTGTAGTAATAGGTTAGAGAAGATGCTTTTGCTTGATGAATGTAGCTGCATCACCTGTAATAATCGGTTAGAGAAGTGTTGGTGCTCATTCTTTAACATATACCAGTCGAGCACACAAGTAGGGATGACTAAAGGCAGAGCACCCAATCAATTATCATTTCCCTTTCTTAATTTTGTTTTTAAAAATATCTCATCCCTATCCGCTTTAATTTTAGATCCCACAAACAGTTCGCTCAGTGATTCATATGTACTAGCATAATGAACCACTACTAGTGCAGGAGTAAAATGATGCGAGATTATAAGTAATGATGTGAGTATTATAAGTAACCAAGTTACACTAAGGATTATTGTCAAAAACATCATGGCAAGCCATCACAATAAGCCAAAAGAGCTCAAGAGTCTGCAGCCGACTGAAGCTAAAAATGACATCTTGCTCATGTTTTACAACAACGAATTCACGTAGTATCTTTAGCTGAAATAGGCTACACATACATGTATCTCCTCTTTTACCTGTATGGCTATATCTCAGAGACCGCCTCTCACATTCACGGATTCACCGCATGCCTTCATTTGTTTTCAATATTGAAATTAAATGTTTTATCTATAATCCCTCACTTATTTCCCTCGTTCAACGTGCATTTGGTTGTGTTGTTCTGTTTGTAACCTCACTCGTACATTTGGATATGTTAAGTTGCTCCTTAATTACTTTACTCCTAGCCTTGACAAGCTCTTTGCTAACTCAATTAAGTATACATTCATTAACTATTAAGTGTGTTTCTCTCAAGAAAAATGGGATGTGACCAGTATTGCATAAAAAAGGGAGTATAAGATAGATGTACAACCGTCTTTCATCTGATTTAAGAAGTTTGTTCACAACATAAAAAAACACATGCACAGTGCATATTAATGACACAACTATAGACATTCGAATCTAATAAAAACCTTCAAAGTTTGAACATGTAATACACTTCTTCCATTCTACGAATTAAAATAGATGCAATGGTCAAGTTATTACACTATTCACACACTCTCATTAGTCATTTGATCATCTTTTGTGATCTATATGTAAGGAAAGATATAATCATGTGAGATCTTTTAAGATTCGTCACGATATAAACTTTCATAATATCTAATTTTATAACACATAATTGAAGGTATTAATGAACATGCAACACACTTTTCCATTCTAAGGAGTAAAATAGATGCAATGGTCAAGTTATTACACTATTCACACACTCTTATTAGTCATTTGATCATCTTTTGTGGTCTATATGTAAGGAAAGGTATAATCATGTGAGATCTTTTAAGATTCGTCACGATATTAACTTTCATAATATCAAATTTTTGATAACACATAATTGAAGGTATTAATGAACATGCAACACACTTCTTCCATTCTAAGGAGTAAAATAGATGCAATGGTCAACTATTACACTATTCACACACTCTTATTAGTCATTTGATCATCTTTTGTGGTGTATATGTAAGGAAAGATATAATCATGTGAGATCTTTTAGGGTTCATCACGATATAAACTTTCATAATATCATTCTTTTTAATAACACATAATTGAAGGTATTAATGATTTAAAGTGTGCATTAGCAAGCTTGAAAATTCTAATGTTGCAACTATTTTAGAACGAAAGAAGTATATAAACTTGGTAACCCTTCAAAATTGCTTTGTACTCCCTTCGTTTCACAAAACAGTTCCGCCCTAACTTCTTGCAAATCCCACAAAACACTTTTACCCCCTCCTAAAATCCTTGTGAATACACCCCATTTCTTCTTTATTGCGGGTAGAAGTTGTTTTTGGGGTATTTCAGACATTTTAGGTGGGGTAGAAGTATTGTGTGGGATGCACAAAAAGTTAGAGCGGAACTATTTTGTAAAACGGAGGTAGTACAGTTTAGTAATTCGATTCTTTTTTTTGTCCTTAGTATCTCATTTATTTCATTACAAAACCATGTCATTGTCATTCTTGATGTCATAAAATTTATTTTTGGTGTTACTGGTTTGTAGGATACTTTCATGCTTCAAATTGAATCCATTTGAATATCTTAACCTACCATTCGATTCCTCCATAGATGATGTAAAACGACAATATCGCAAGGTAAGTTCCCTCAGGTGTTTCTCCTAAATGAAAGATAGTCAATGTCCAATTCATTTATAATTGGCCTAATATACTCATGCAATTTATTATGTGTAGTTATCTTTGCTTGTTCACCCGGATAAATGCAAGCATCCTCAAGCAAAGGAAGCTTTTGGAGGTAAACAATATGTGATCTTTCCTCTTGTTACATAAAATGTAATTGTGGGTATTTCAAGTGTAAAAGGCATCATCTGTTTATTTGGCAATGCAATAACTTACTCCCTCCGTCCCTTAAACTCCTTCCCCTTTCTTTTTTTTCTTGTCCTACTAACTCCTTCCCTTATCTATTAAAAAACCACTTTTACCCCTTTACCTATCACATCATACCTTTTTACTAATAATCTATCCATCACATCTTACTTTTACCCATCACATCAAGGATATTTTTGGAAAGTCAACACCAAAATATCCCTCCCTCAATTTCCCAAAAAGTCAATAAGGGAACTACTTTCAGGGACGGAGGGAGTATGTGTTTTTACATCCATCTTTCATTCTTCTTTTCCTGGCTCCTCTGATGATCTTTTTTGCCCTTTGCAGCTTTAGCAAAAGCCCAACAATTATTACTTGATCCGCCAGAAAGGGATTATATTTTGAACCAGGTTCATGCTGCAAAAGGTTTGCTGCCCCCACGTTCATAAGTATTTCTAGGCATATATGGTTCTATATTCCTAATTCTTACATTGGAAATACTGTCTCTTTGTGTGGAGCTCAGAGGAACTAAAATTAAAGTGGAAGAAGCAGGTCAAGAAAGATACTGCTGCTAAGTTGAAGTCATTAGTTTCTGAGGTAACTATTGCATTTAGACCCCCCCCCCCCAGCAATCACAACCGCTCCACACACAAAATACTTCATACATTGATGCGTTCATTTTGGTTTAGTTTAAAGTATTAAACAAGTATGAAGGGAGTGGGTACCTATTAGGGGCTTTCTTCTTGCATGAAGGGAGTTACTCACAGCTCAAGCTTTTGCTTTGTGGCCGCAGAGCTTTATCACCTTTATGATATTTTTAAGGACTTGAGAGGATTTTGTTTTCCATGGATAAGTAAGAACACAATCATGCTAGTTTGATAGTTCCTGATCTTTCTTGGGGATCATGGTGCTATGCCATTTGTCGCATCATGTGTATAAGAATTAGGGTGTCATTCAGGAGTTTTATGGCTTTGATGAGTTGGTACTGACAAATTAATCTTGTAATAAACTATGTCTGATGGGATTATTTTGCTCTTACTATAGGTATGTGTTTGTGTACAACTGTACAAGTCCGTGCCATTTCGTTTCTCATTGTATTCCATCTCTATTTCTCGTCTTTATGATGATGATGATGATGATAATAATAATAATAATAATAATAATATTTCAAATCTACATCAAAAGTTCTATAAAATAAGATGTGACATGAATATTTTATTTTATCAAATAATCGATGAAAACACAAATAAACAAAAGTTATCGAGAGGCAAACATATTTCTGGATTTTGTGGGAAGGAGGGAGTAAAAGAATATGAATTTGTGGTTTGCATGTATTTATGTAGTACAGAGTAATAATTAATATACATGTGTGCTCCAATTGCTCTTCTAGCTGTTGATTATAAGTCATAAGTATCCTATGTTCCCATGAAGTTAAGTTTAAGAGCATCATTATGTAATTTGACATATGTTCACTAATAGCAGTAGATGTTCAGCACTTACTAATTTTTTTTGACATGCTTGTCAAAAATGCCAGGGAAAATTTGAACAAGAATATGAACGATCAGAAGAATTCCAGCAGCAGCTAAAACTAAAGGTTCGAGAAATATTGACCGACCAAGAATGGCGGAGAAGGAAAATGCAGATGAGGGTATATTACTCCCTGATCTTATTATTATATCCAAACTATGTTCCATTTCCATCTTCCTACTTCTGGGTTTTGCCACTTGACCTAAATAGTCTCTACTCCTATGCAGATATCTGAGGAGGAAGGTCGTTTAAAGAAGGACGAGGAAGAACAGAAGGAGATGTGGAAAAGGAAGCGCGAGCATGAGGAGNCCCCCCCCCCCCCCCCCGTTTTTTTTCGCTAATGCATTTGTTTTCGTTATGGACGATCTTAATAAGGAACATGCGAAATGGATTCTTTATTTCTGATGTGATGAATATCTAACTTTCTTTGTTCGAATGTCACTTTGTCGGCAGGTATCAAGTTGGAGAGACTTTATGAAAGGTGGAAAGAAGGTGAAGAAAGGGGAGATCCGGCCTCCAAAACTCAAAACCGAAGATCCAAACAAGTCTTATGTTCAACGACCAGTGAAGCGAGGTTAGAGTTTTGCTGCAGCACTTCCCTAGTCAAATTAAATGACAAAAAGAAACGTAATTCCTTGTATTTTTTTCGTCGTTAGTTGTTATTACAACATAACATAAAGGATTGAGATGTTTTCTGTCAGCTTGTCACAATGTAAGAAATCCGTTTACCATTGTAATCTTAGTAAAATATGCAGTATCTGGTGGTTGGCATCAAGCTCTTATCATGAAACTCCAATGCTTCTTCAGGTCATTAGGGCGTGTTTGTTTTTATGTTTTTCAGTGGTAGTGGAGGAAAGGTTCTTGAATAACTTTCACAAAGTATTTGAATGCTGTGTATTATTAGTCCTTGCAAATATGAGTATTAAATGTGAATTTACTATAGAGCTTGGAACCAAACAGGCCTCTAAATAGGGCCAATAAGCTACTCCACTATTGGGTGGTTTCTTCAACATTTAAAGCATATGAATCACTAGTTGAGGCTCCTCTGCTCTGAATAGTGCATCCATAGTTGAAGAGTTGAAACCTAGTGTTGTTATCCATCTCTTTGAAATTCTTAGGATAATCCATTTTCAGTGGATCACCTTTAGCGTGATTTCGACACGGTGATTTGCGTGATATTGCTATGCAAAGTTATAGATTACAACACCCTAGTAGAATCCCCCACTTTGCAGGGTTTGGGGAGGGTATGTGTGCACATAGATTTCATTCATTCTTAAAAGTAGAAAAGTTGTTTTCAAAAGACTCTTGGCTCGAGCAACAAAAAGCATGCAAAGTTATATATTAGCCTTGGATAATAGATTGCCTCATACAAAAACGAGTACTCCACCAATTACCCACCGTACATTTGGATGTACAGTATAGGTATTGCTTCCCGAGAGAGGACATTAGATTTTTCAGGTCATTAACAATTTAGGTAACATACAACAAGACCATGCTTCAAGGGTGTTGATTGAAGCGAGTGAACAAACAAGGGAAGGTGACATATTATGAGGAGTTGCGGGGTACAAGTGTAGTAGACACCCATTAAAAACACATTAAAATTTTACAAAACAAAAGGTAACAGGAATATTTTGTTTCATAAAATAATCAATGAAAACATACAAAAAAACAGAAATGTCCATAATTTTTGAATAGTGAAGAGTATAAATTACTGTAGAATGGAGGAAAATTTTCAAGACCCATGTAAAATTAAAAGTTTATCAAAGTAGAGTTGTAAATTTTTCGTTTATTCAAAACTAATTGCATTGTTTGAATTTTGAAAGAGTGGCGCATATGTTTTGAGAAGTGATTCAAAATTTCGAAGTTGGGTAATGTTACATTTTGGTGGTTCTTTTTCTTTTTGATATCTCAAAAAATTGAGAGATTATACTCTCTAATGCATGATGCAAATTTCTAAATCCCAAAATAAATTACTCCCTCCGTCCACCTAAGATCTTCTCATTACGCGTTACGAGGCTTGACCGACTTTATTTTTAATTCAATTTAATTGATTATCGGAGTAAAATTTTAAAATAAAATTTATATAGTAATAAACTTCATGAAAAGTTCTACAAAACTAGAGGTTACAAGACTATATTATTTTATGAAATGACTAGTAAAAATGAGTAAACAAAGTGAGTAAAGTTTGATCCCGTGAATAGTGACTGGGAAGATCTATGGTGGACAGAGGGAGTACATATTTACTAATATTTATATGATCAAATTTTATTAATTTTTTCTTTTTTGTTAATCCATTTCATAAAATAATATAACTATGTCACCTTTTGAAGAATTTTAATATAATTTTTTAATATGTAAATTTTATTTTCTAATTCCCCTCCAATTCTCAAATAAATTGAATTAAAAATAACTTCAACCAAAAATCATAAACCGAAACAAGCGACTTAAATTTTGAAACAAAGGGAGCATTTTTTATTATCTAATCAATGCTCCATTCATCGCACGAAAAGAAAAAAACAAAGTTCTCTTCGATGGTTATCCCTGAGCTACCTCATATAAATAAAAAGTATTACTTATTTTATCAAATAACCAATGAAAAAAGCACATGCGAGCAAAGATTATCAGAAAAGAAAATATTTTTTTAGTGCGTAGGGAGTATATATTAGTGCAAATGACTCGGATTTTTTAAAACAACCCAAACGATTCAAATGTCGTTCTCCACCGCGCTAGTTAAGCGTCACTCATCGCCTCATGTACAAATAGCTTCTGCAAATAGCATACACTACAAAAAGTACAAAAACACTATCTTGAATCTCCCCTTATAACTGAAACCTAGAATCACATCAAGGCATACGGGTTCCATTATTTCTTTCTACAAGTTACTTGACACAAACAAATACAATGGTAAATCCTGTTGAACTACAAGTACAGGAAGCGAATAACAAAGTGTCATCTGAAAAGGGGCTTATTATTCCCTAACCAATGTTCTTCTACAAGACAAACTAACAAACCTACAAGACCACACCTATATAATACAAAGGAAGCTCGCCAAGATTCTTCATCTATCTAAGCAATTGTATACAAGGACCCACCTTTACCCCTCTTTTAACCCAAGCAAAGATAACACACCTAAACCCGGAATCAGAAAAAAAAATAAGAAAAAAAAAGATATGAAAATACTGAAACTAACCAACCATATTGGAAATGATCCCACTTCTGTCCCGTCTAGCCTGCCTGCGATAAAATGTACAAGGGGAAACACTCTTGAAGCCCCCAACTGCATTTCACCATCATGATATATAGACAATCTGCCTTATCTTTGCAACCCGGAATGTTTTCGGAAGGCCTTTCCATACCACATCCAATTCGGCACCTATAAATAGGCAAATCTGGAAAACCCTCCCAATCGGATCATCATGCCAAGTTGCAGAAAACGATTCTGGCAACCAACTACTATATGTTCTACATCCAGGCTAGAGAACCTCGGTCATTGGCGCCTTGAGGACGACCTCTCGTTGGTGTAGCAGGCCGGTTAGCATTAAGTTCCTGTTAAACCCATACCATAATAAGAAAAAAACATGATGAGCCGAACATCCATTAGAAATGCAGCACGAAAAGAAAAAGGAAATGCAAAAAGATTTTATAAATATATACGGAGTATATAAGCTGTGACAAGTGTAGTGTTAGTATATGAAGTTGAGAACATTAACTCTAAGACAATCACTCCCTCCGTCCCAATGTATTTGTCTTGTTTGACTTTTTTGAGTCAAAGTGGACAAACCTTAAGCCTCAATTACTTTCTATTAATATAGCATATTAATACAATGTAATAAAAATTTGAATGTTTTCAACAAGATAAATCTAATGAAATCTTTATTATACTAATATACATTATAATTTTTATTTAATTGAGGTCCAAAGTTCATCCAATTTGACTTCAAACTCAAAAAAGTCAAACTGGACAGGGACGTAGGTAGTGTAATACATGAAAAGGCACAGTAAAAAAGCCGTTAGTATCATCATCACACAAGACAGCAGTCAAAGTACAATCATTGTTAAGTTCTAACTAGAAACAGAATTGTATAGTTCAGAAAATACTCCCAGTAGTCATAACAACATGTTAACAGAAAAAATAGTACCTGCATCCATGTGTCTTCTATGTGCCGCTCCGGTGATGTTTCGGGTGATGAAAGTGCAGGTGGCAGTGGATGAATTAATTTTGGAACTACAACAAGATCTCTCCCCAGTACCAAGATCGCACCAGCATTATTTGCGGTGCCTGCAGTCAGATGGTTTTACATTTTTTTTGACCTGAGAATAGAACTTTGTAGAAGACCGAGTAAAAGAATGTAACCAAGTGAGGAAAGGCATCATACCACAATAATTTGTGGCAGAGAACAGAGTAATTAAATGTCCCTGAGCAAACCGTTCAAAGCCATCCATCACACATTCGTGCGCTCGAACAATCAATTGAAGATCATTGTTGTTGCAAAATTCCATCACACGATCAGGCTGCAGATATAAATTAGAGAAACAGATCGATAAAGTATGACTGCAGCAGGAGAGTTTGGAGAGATAAGGTTTCCATTTATGGAGGAAATTATCGGAGATTTCCTAGGGAAAAAGGGAATCACCTAAAAGCTTAAGAATTTTCTTTTGCAGAAGGGGACTTTACAAGGGAAAGAAGAAAGGGGTTAATTGTCCAACCAAACAAACCTAAGATGCTTGCATTTTCTCGCTAGGGGTTAAAAGCAACGTCATCTGTTCATATAAAAAGACATTTCATCTACAAGCCCAATAATCATATGAGGATAGATCTTGTCTAGTTGTCTCTGTCCAAGTTTAACTTGAGCCTTCTACCCTTCATATGTTGTATTCCTATATTTCTCCCTCATCTTATCCTCAACCAGAGCTACTTTTACTTTTACGAAGAGTATAAGAGGCGTAATTTTCCCATTAAACCAATAACGTCTGAAGGCACTGTAGATAAAGAGAATTATACTCCCTCCGTCCCAATAAAAGGTTCCACATTTGACTTGGCAAGGAGATTAAGAAAAGTGAAATTATGTGATTGAAAGTGATGCAAATGAGAGAAATTATAAGGACCACAAATTTTTTTCTAAACGTAGAAAGTTGTCCTTTTTTTTTTGGACAAACAAAAAAGGAAATGTGGAACCTTTTTATGGGAGGGAGGGAGTAGATGAAAGGAACACTCACCCCAAAAGTAACTAATCCAGGACCTCTAGCATTTGGGCGCAATCCCTCAACACTGTCATTTTCTGTTGGGTCAGACCTGAAAGCATAATAGAATTACACAAGAATGTTATACATTGCTTTCTATATAGCAAACACCAACAGCATGCATTCCGATGACTTGAAAAAAAAATGAACGGATGATGTATCTCCCAATACCACAACAGATCCATGAGCACAATTGAGCCAGCATCCATACTAATAGGGCGCTGAATATTCTCAATTTGTTCTACATGATTGATGGATCTCCCAATACCACCATGCATACAGATAATCTTGTTCTCAATCAATGCTGCCAGAGGAAGCCAGTTAAATAGTCTGTTAAAACGATGCCATGCCCAGATTCCATCTCTCTCACCCTGATCCATAGTAGTTCCTAGTCTCAATCAGTCTTTGAGAGCAGAAAATTTGTCCAAACAAAATGTGATATAGCATTACCAGTCGCTCAATACACTCGATCCGAAATCCAAAAAGTGCATTTATATCTGCAGCTTCATGGTTCCCACGGATTAGGTGAACATTGTGAGGATACTCGACCTAGAGAAAATATATAATTTGGGATCAAAAATCAACAAATGAATATGGACTCAAACAATGGACGAGATAGGATATCTTGCCTTCAAAGCCAACAGAAGTGTTATAGTCTCCAAGCTATGCTGGCCACGATCAACATAATCTCCTAGGAAGAGATAATCGATATATCTGATGGTTGTTTAATTAAAAATTAGAACCACAAATATTTCCTTGGTTAACCTTCTCACATAGTAAGACAGTAAGAGGCAGCAGCATAGGTATTAAGCCAACATACATCAGAAAATGCTATAATGAATCCGAAAATTCACACTGCAAACTAATAAAATAGCAATAAAAGAGCTCAAGTAAAAATTAAAAGGCCAAGATAACTGATATGCATGAAGAAACGCGCAACCGGTCCATTTCATTAGTCTTAAGCAGACTACATTTTGGAAATAAGATTTCAAATTTGCATGCCATGGAAATAGGAGCAATCCTTATACAGTACTTAACATAACAAAAACCTCTCTACGATAATAGCTGGTGGACACCAACAAGAAAACCAATGCTTGGAGAAACGTAGAAGTTGTGAGTAAAACTCATATACGTTGACGAATATGGGTTTGTTATCATAGTTGTGGAAGGCATGCTTGAGGTGTGCCAGCCTCCAAAGGTGAAGCCACTGAGGTGCACACTGCGTCATGGCTTAGTGCCTAATGCCACAAGGTTGTGCTCAACTTGTTTTCTTGAAAAAGATGAAAAATAAATAGTATGGGCTAGCATGAGATGGGATAGGCCGGGATGCCTTTGATCCCAAACCCAAAACCAATTCTAATCACGAGACGTGATAGGAGGAGATTTTTTTTTGTTTGAAAAATGATCTCGTCTCATCCCCTCTGTTTTGGGTTTGGGTTTATTCAGGATCAAGGCCATTTTTAAATAAATACTTCCTCTGTCCGGAAAATAACTTCCCACTTTCTTTTTTGGACCGTCCTGAAATTAACTTCCTATTTCCTTATTTGATGTCTTTTAAATTGAAATGCCATAAATGCCCTCCGACCAACCAATATAATCTCGTATTTTTGGGGAATTGGGACAAGAGGGGAAGACTGATGAGAAGTGTTCAGCTTCAAGATTACAGGATTGGATTCGAAGTGCAAACCCCTACAAGATATATATTTTAAAATTAATTATACAACCTTTGTCTTTGATCATCACAGAACATATTGCACACATAGTTCTGCACCTTCTACAAACTTTCCAACCTCTGCCAGCATCCTATGTCACGCGTTTGATGATGATGAGGTTGGGGGTGAAACAGGACAAATATGAAAGATGAACTTCTGATAAAGATGGAGGTGATGATTTTGATGAAAATGAGAATGTAGGTTTCGATGATGACGGGAATGGAAATTTGATGGTTGATTAGATATTTGCTAAGTTGTTTGACTTAGGTACTTGGTAGTATGGTATAATCTTAATTCATTTTAAAATTTAGGTGTGGGACTTCACTTCGAACTTTGAAGTTTATTTAATTTCTTTAGTACTTTGGAGTTTAGGCTTTATTTTTAAACTTTTAATGTGGATGATGTTTTGTATACGTCCAGAAAGTTAGTCTATGTTCTTCCTTTGGTGCCTTACACCTTTAACAATAATGTTTGCAATGCACTACAAGAATCATCTCAAAGTTTTAGTGCATAAAGATATCAAAAGGAAAGTTGAAAAAAACACTTACGATATATCTCCTGCAGTTGAAGGAGATCCATACTCATCGAAAAGACGCATGAGATCCCCAAACTGGCCGTGCAAGTCACCAAATATCTTGATAGGAGCTTTGAGCTGTAGGACAGTAGGCTCACATGAAAAGAGTCTATCTGCAGAGTCACAAAGATCAGATATCTCATGGCAGTCCAAGAAAAACTGTCGTCGAACAGGTGGCTTCCAACCCCGCGGTTTTAGAAGATGAGCAATGACCTAAGAAAATGTAACCACGTCATGAACAACGGTTTAACATTTAAATCGTCATTAGCTAAGAGTGAACATGACCGCTGAGAGAGCAAAAAGAGGTCTATTTGAAGAAATTATCAATTAAGAAACTGAATGTGTCAAGAAAATGGAATGAAATCAACAAATATGCCTATACAAAGCTGCAAAAAGAAGTGTATGCTTAAAAATCCTAATGGCATCTTGTTAACTTCATCTGGATAAAGCAACTTCTATGTATATCACAACTTGCAACAACTAAATAAAACATCTAATGAGCCAAACACCTACAGCAACAACAAGTCTATATTCAGTAAACTGACTAAACTCCCACTTAGTGTATTCAGACAGAGGTGGATGTATGCAGACGAAATGAACCAAACATCTAAAAAGAAATAATAACACAACTTTCCAATCCACCTGACCCAAGCTCATTCTCTTTTTTCCCATATCAGTGCAAACAACAGAGTAAATCCTAAACCAAAACCTATATTCACCATTCCACAGGCACAAATGCACAATGAGGATCAAACCTTTTTGGGAACACTGTTGATTGACATTTGTCTATCTAAAAGTTTTCTTGCAGCTGTTGCATTTTCTGGAGTACCATAACTGACTCGTCTTCCTTCGTTTTCAAATTGATCAATGGAGAGTTGTCTAACCATTCCCCCAAGAGCTCCACTGGTCTCTGCAGCAACAACCACCTGTCAATAAATTGATGATTGAACACCATCAACATTACATCACAGCTGAGTCAAGATATCAGAAAATGCAAATAAGATAACAGCTTAAGGGACATAGGGAACTGGCAACAGACCGCACGGTGATGTAGCCGAACTCCAGGTGTAGCAGAAGTGTTTGCTAGAGCAGGATCAAGCTTGATCAGGCTTGATGGTTCTTTTCCACTAGGAGTTGCATCCGCACCACGATCCCTATCCGGTAGTAGTTCAACTTCTCCGTTAACTTGTCGAGCTTTGGCAGCAGCTAATGTAGCACTAATAGCCTCTGCTTCGGCTGCAGAGGCCTCAACTAAATACTCTACTCCTTTGCTCAATCTACTGCATGGAAATACATAGTTATTAGATTTAACAGGTACGCAAAAGAAAGATAACAATAATTCATAAGCTCAAGAGCAATTGTTCATTTAGCTCAGCTCACCGATTTCCTTGAAGCATAGCATTTTCAGTGCTTATATCTGTATGCATATCCCCATTTACAGGGGGCGCGACAGGATTTCCCAAAACAACAGCACCATCACTCAATGTTTCAGGCATTGTCTGTCTCATTCTTTCATCAACATAAACATACCTCCCTTGCATTCTCTCTTGTATATTTGCGGCTGCTGCTGCTGCATGAGAAGCAGCACTTGTCGTTTCAGCAGCAGCCAAATCTTCAGCAACAAGCAAGTCATCCAGCAATACACCTATAAGATAATCACTGCATCCAATTATTGTCTAAGCTGGCAGGATACAATTAGTTGTTTAACAACTTTGAGGAATCTCCACAATGTTACCCAAAAAACCCGTCTTAAAAATTATGTTTGCCATATATCAATGGCAAAGTTAACCACAGGCATAAACCATTTTCAAATTACATATGTTTGAAAAACTTAAGGCTATCTAGTACTGTCAACTCCAGAGCAAATACCTGTTTCTTTTGTTATTATACTCCCTCTATCCCTAAGTATTTGTTCACTTTTGACTTTTTCGGTCAAAATTGGTAAACTTTGACCTCAAATTAAATAAAAATGATTTTAGATATTGAAACAAAAATAGTTTTATTAGATTTATTATATCAAATATTTTCAAAATATTATTCTATCTAATTAATATATAATATATATTTTATTTAAGTATAGGTAAAAGTTTAAAAACAGTTGACCAAAAAAAAATAAAACTGGACAAATACTCAGGGACGGAAGTAGTATATCACAAAAGCTTCATAAATTTAAAATTTCCATCAATAACTATGTGACACACTTAGTTCTAACTAGACATACTTGGAAATATGATGATCCTAAGATCTCACAAGTAGCACTCCTGTAGGAGAAATGATTTCACAGAGAAAAATTTCATTCAGGACATGAAAAACTGATGCCTTGTTAACTCATTTTCAAGTACATATTATTTTCGAGAAGATGCTGAACTCTGTAACAAACCTATTCCAATGAACGCACAGTAGATAGCTTTTCCAGACTCACACAAACTGGAGTGAGTTCTTTAAACTAATTCCAGTTGAGCTTTTATATTTAATATTCTTATTTGAAGAGATCCATTCATCTTTTCCATAGATCTAAGTTATCACTCCAAGAGACTAATAGATCAAAATATGATAGTTGGACCATGAAACCATCATTCGTACCACCGCGTAGACCGCCATAAATAAAGATTAAATCTCCAACCGCAGCAGCAGCATGCCTGCAACGCCTTGTCAACTCTACGGCTGCATCTCCACCTGCAGCATCCACACTGTATTTCCCAGTTCTTGGGCTAGTAACCACAGACTTTGTATCACACCAGACCCCAGCTGCAGTATCCAAAACTGGAAAAAGAAAATGAATTCATTTTCAATGCATAAGATTAATCTGGCTCTTACAGAAACTTCTCTACATGTAAGACAGACAATACCAGCCACGCTGGAGGAGTCCTCGACCATACGTCCACCACCCAAAGCCCCTCCAGATACATGGAGCCTTGCATTAACAAAAACCTGCAATTCCAGCATATATTGAAACTGCCACTCAAGGGAACAAAAATCTAAAATATGCCGGTGGAGTTGGCAGTCAATGACGTACTGCAGCATGTTGATATCTAGGAGATGGTGACACACCAGGAGCAATAGCCCACTCCCACCGACCATCTCTATGTTTAGCAAGCCCATATGCACTTGCTAGTGGCTACAAACATCAAATTTATCACAAAAGTGAAGCAAGGGAAGTGCAATAGAAAAAAAAATATTCATATTGTTTAGCATCTCTCCCTCCACAATATATCACAAAAAGGGTGAAAGGGCACTCACTACGCTATTTGCATCTCTCCCTCCACAGAGTAGTAGAAGACCATCAGAGCGTGCACTTGCAGTTGCATACCTAAGCAGAGATGGAAAGGTGAAGGAAGAAATAAACAAGGTTTGATCAGTTTGCAGTTTGCACAAAAGCTTTTTATGTAATTAAAATTAGGATCT